AACAAAATAACAGTCCAAGGGGAAGCTGGGCAAAAGAACAAGACTACTTGAGAAACTTAAGGCAAAGAGGGCTGGGGGAATAGGTCTAAATTAAAACCTCAGCATACAAAAAAAGAAGAAAGGAAGAAGAAAAAGAAACTACACTAGCACCAGTGGCTCATACTTATAATCCTACCTACCCAAGACGCTGTGGCTGGGTGCGGATGGCTCATGCCTGTAATCCTAGCTACTCAGGAGGCTGAGATCTGAGGATCGTGGTTCAAAGCCAACCCAGGCAGGAAAATTGGTGAAACTCTTCTCTCCAGTAAACCACCAGAAAACCGGAAGTGGCGCTGTAGCTCAAGTGGTAGAATGCTAGCCTAGAGCTGAAGAGCTGAGGGACAGCGCTCAGGCTGAGTTCAGGCCCCTGGTATCTGAGGATTATGGGTTGAAGCCAACCAGGGCAGGAAAGTTTGAGACTCTTATCTCCAATAATAAACTCAGAAAAAGCCGGAAGTGGCACTGTGGTTCAAGTGGTAGAGTGCTGGACTTGAGTACAGAGACAGAACCCAGGGCCCGAGTTCAAGCCTCAGGACTGGCACAAAAAAAGAAGAAAGAAATTGCTCGCCCTTCCCCTTTCCCCTTGTCAGAACATGAGTGCAGTGAGGAACCCCTTCAGTCATATGGGACAGGCAAACTTCCTGGGTCCTCACTACTGTGTGTGGCCCATCACCTAGGAGCTTGTGACAAATGACAAACCTCAGACTGGATCAGAATTTGCATTTAAGTAAGAATGCACCAAACAGGATCACTAAAGTGAGAAGCACTCTCCAGATGGCAGAGTAAAACATTTGTTTCCAGGGCTCTATGTATAGCACTAGAAGATGAATTGGCAAGTGAAAGTGAACTGGCGAAGATACGTGTGTATATGCTTGTCCATAGTGTTTATGTACACATATGTCTGTCTGTGCCTCCAATCAAACTTTAAAAACCATCATAGCCTAGCGTGCTCAGAGAACTTCCCTTAGTCTACACTTTTGCAAATTCATCTTGCAAAAAGCCTAGGTTATAATACAACATTGACCACCTCATGTCATTACTGAATACTTATATATTCAACACAGCACACTGTATAGTACTGGTTAATCTTTTCTTTTTTTTTTTTTGGTCCTGGGGCTTGAACTCTGGGCCTGGGCGCTGTCCCTCAGCTCTTCAGCTCAAGGTTAGAGCTCTACCACTTGAGCCACAGCACCATTTCCAGTTTTGTGAGTGCTTTATTGGAGATGAGTCTCTTGTCCTTTCCTGCTTGGGCTGGCTTTGAACCGCAATCCTCAGATCTCAGCTTCTTGAGTAGCTAGGATTACAGGCCTGAGCCATCACGCCCGCTGGTTAATCTTCTTGATCACTGAGATCGCAGCTTGCCTAACAGCTCGAGTAAGTATCGTGCCATATATTGCTACCATATTTTGCTACCCTAAGGAAAGATCAAAGTGTCAGATGTGGTTTCCACACAATGTGCACTGCTTTTGCATCATTGCAAAGTGGAAAAAAATCATTACATAACTGGGAGAAAACATGTTATTTCCTTAGGAAAAATTTCTAGAATGTTGGTTCAATTATTTTTACTCACATTTTAACTTTGGAAACAAAGTTAAAATTGCCTGCTAGGAAGGTTTAACTGATGTGATCTCAGACCAAGACTGACAAGATTCTGTACCTGCTGTGGCAGTACAGTGGCCCACACCCTCCCCGCTATGGGGTATTCTTTACTTTTCTGAAGTACAAGAGTTCCCATTGTACTCAGGTGCCATTTCTTGTATGTTTGATCTTTTTCTTCTCCCAGTTTTTATGAATCCCTTATCTTTACATTTTTTTTTTTTTTTTACAAATTTATCCAACAGGATTTTTTTTTAACTTGAGAGGATCCTCTGAAAATGAAACTTTTTAAAAGAAGAAGTAAGGCATGCCTGTGATAATTTTAAAAAGCAGAAATGAAAGGATACATGGTGAGAAAGGAGCTTCCCTCCACTGTTGATTGGCAGCTAACTCAGGTAATCATCTCTACAATTTCCTAGAATCCTTTCAGAGACTTTACTTATTTAATGCCAGTGCCCAGCTATATTTTATTAATTTGTTATTTTTTTTTGGGGGGGGGGGTCTGGTCGTGGGGCCTGAACTCTGGGCCTGGGTGCTGTCCCTCAGCTCTTCAGCTCAAGGCTAGTGCTCTACCACTTGAGCCACAGCACCACTTCCGGCTTTTTCTGCTTATGTGGTGCTGAGGAATCGAACCCAGGGCCTCATGCATGCAAGGCAAGCGCTCTACCACTGAGCCACCTTCCCAGCCCCTCATTTGTTACTGATTGTAATGAGATTGGAGTTGAATTCCGGACATCAGGCTTGCTAGGCAGGCATTCTACCACTTGAACCAAGTCCCCAACCTTCAGATCTTACTAACATGAACCACCACTATGTTTTCATAAACAGAAAGCAAGACGAAAACCAAGCTTTGAAACAAAATTCTTTTTCCCTCTCTTCACTGATAGAGGGCCAGCCGCTGTGGGCTCAATGGTGAGGACACTGTGTCTGGGAGATGTGTGATTACAGGGTTTGACAAGGACTCCAACAGAGGCATCTGTTGTACTACAGTGGGATTTAGGTGGTTCTTATTCTTCCTTAACTCTGCAAGGAAGCTAGGTATCATCTGTTTTACAATGAGACATCCACCCGTGGCCTTTGCAGAATGAAGCTCTTCTCCTCACCCTAATGGCTGCCCAGAGTATCCACTAAGAAACAATCACAAATGAATTCATCACTAACACAAACTGGTTCATTGCTAAATGCCATCATGAATCACTCCTGTTATCAGAAGTCTGAGACCTGAGGATTCTGCTTCAAAGCCAACCTGGGCAGGAAAGCCCATGAAATACTCATCTCTAACCACCAAAAAAGCTAAAAGTGAAAGTGTGGCTCAAGTGGTAGAGTGCCAGCCTTGAGCAAAAAAAAAAGCTAAAGGACAGTGTTCAGAGTCTGAGTTCAAGCCGCAGGTGGAAAGCCATGAGTCTCAAAAACATCTTTTCCAGAAAGACTACTTCATGTTAAGCCTGCCTAAAAGCCTGTTGATTAGTATTAGCTCTGCCTTGAGAGGACTCTGAACCACCCAGGGAGCACACTGGAGGGAGCAAAAAGGCTCAGTGAAATCTGCATGAGACAGGTTCTCCTGACACACGGTTCTAACGCACGGGTCACAACCACAACGACCAGGAGCCAAGCATTTTGCTTCCAGAGATTTTTCCCTTAGTGTGAAATAATGCAAGTATAAAAGAAGAATCACCAATGATGACAGGCCCCAAAAAGATGGAAGAGGGTGACCATGTGGCCACACAGCCCCATCTCAGAGGGTTAAGGCAAATCGTGGAGGTCTGTTTCTCCATCAATGGCAGTGTGCCCTGAGACTGGGTTTACCAATCAGACCAAATGCTTGTTTATCTGCTTCCATTTAATAACTGGAATTTACATTCGGTCTTTATTTTCAAGATAGTATTAGCCTTGTCTTTTCTATCTCCCGACTTCCCCAAACACCATTATTGCTCTCACATCATCTCTCAAGGGTGGGGAATACCTGTTTGTGCCACGTAAGGCCTGCGAAATCACTGGGTACACGACGGCAGAAGCATGCCTTCTTCCATGCTTCCCTCAGCCCTCTGCCTGGACTGATGATTTTGAAACGGCTCAGTAAAGTCAGAAATGTCCACATGGCCCCAGCAAGAAGTGCTTTGAACTCCACGCCACTGAGAAAACGTTGGCTAGAAACCTGATTGCTGTTCATGCCAGTCAGTAATCCTAGCTACTCAGGAGGCTGAGATCTGAGGATCGTGGTTCAAAGTCGGACCGGGAAGAAAAGTTCGAGAGATTCTATGTCTAAGCAGAAAAAAACAAAAACAAAAACCAAACTAGGCTGGGAAGGTGGCTCAGTGGTAGAGCGCTTGCCTTGCATGCCTGAGGCCCTGGGTTCGATTCCTCAGCACCACATAAGCAAAAAGAAAAAAGCCGGAAGTGGCGCTGTGGCTCAAGTGGTAGAGCGCTCGCCTTGAGCTGAAGAGCTGAGGGACAGCGCCCAGCCCAGCGTTCAGCCCCACGACTGGACAAAAAAACAAAAACAAAAACAACAGAAACCAAAAGCCACCACCACCAGACTAGAGACACGGCTCAAGTGGTAGGGCGCCATTCACGACCAAGCCAGCCGAGCAAGGTGGCCGAGTCCGAGCTGGAGCGGCGGCGGCGGCGCTGGCCGGCGCCGCGGCCCGTGTGGGAAGGCGCCCGGTTCGCGACTCGGTTGACGCCGCGCCGGCCCAGCACGGTGACGTCGGCCCACGCCCCGCTGGGGCTGGGAGGGCGCGGCGGGGGTCCGCGCCACTTGGCGTCGGATCCCGACTCCCCCCTGCTCATCCCCTCTCGCCCCTCCGGGCCTCGGCCCGACCCCCAGCTTCACGCCCACGAGGCCTGAGGGTCACACGTGTCGTTACCGACTCTCTCGCGAGCTCTGCAATCTCTCGTTCTCCTCCTTGGAACCATCACGCCTCGCGCGTCACCCCACTGAAGGGGTCAACCTCCGGGAACTCACTGGGGAGACCCGGCAGGCGGAAGCGGAAATGCCTCCTTTGTGGACACGCAGAAGTAGCGAAGTCTTTCAATGGCCGACTGTACAATGACTTTGAGTAAGATACTCAATTGGTCCAGACAGAAGAGGGGCTGCCCTTTCTGGGGCATCCATCCAATCAGCGCACAGGACGGCGGAGGCCCCCCCCCCCGCCGCCGCCGGGGTGCGTCGCTTCCGGCGGTTTGCGCACTGCGGCTGCGTGGGCGGCCGCCGCCCCCGCAGCGCGCGCGCGCTCTGCGCGTCTCTCATCTCTGCTGCGTTGCATCTTCATTGCAGCATCGCTTCGCCTCTGCTGCGTTGCTCCCCGGCGCCCGGGTCCGGGTAGGCCGAGGCCCTCGTTGCCGCGAGGCTCCTCCTCGAGGCCCGTGGCGGCGCAGGTGCCCGCCGGGCTCGCGGGAGGCGCATGGTGCGCGGGGAGGCTGGCGGCCTCCCGGGGGTCTCTGAGGGCCGCGCTCTCGGAGCCTCAGCCTGACGTCCCGAGGCGTCTCGGCGACGGCGCCCCTCACCGCAGATGGCGTCGATGCTCCCGACCTCGGAAGCCCAGGTGAGGCCAGGCACTTTTTTCTTTTCTCTTTCGTGGAAGTGTGCATATGTGTGTGCGCGCGCGCGCCGACCCTGGGGCTTGAACTCGGGGCCTGGGCGCCATCCCTGAGCTTCGTCCGCTCAAGGCTGGCGCTCTACCGCCTGAGCCACAGCTTTCCTTCTGGCCTTTTAATCGGAGATGAGAACCGCGGTGGGTGTCTCCTGGTTGGTGAGGCTCTGGCGGGGCCCCGAGGCCCCCGGCCACGGTGGGTGTGTCTCCTGCTTGGTGAGGCCCGTGGGCGCGGTGTGTCTCCTGCTTGGTGAAGCTCTAGCGGGGCCCCGAGGCCCGCGGCCCCGGAGGGGCCCCCTGGGCGCCGGCCGAGGCCCCCGGCCGCGGTGGGTGTGTCTCCTGGTTGGTGAGGCCCCGTGGGCGCAGGCCGAGGCCCCCGGCCGCGGTGGGTGTGTCTCCTGGTTGATGAGGCTCTGGCGGGGCCCGAGGCCGCGGTGGGTGTGTCTCCTGGTTGGTGAGGCTCTGGCGGGGCCCGAGGCCGCGGTGGGGGTGTCTCCTGGTTGGTGAGGCCCCGTGGGCGCAGGCCGAGGCCCGCGGCCGCGGTGGGGGTGTCTCCTGGTTGGTGAGGCCCCGTGGGCGCAGGCCGAGGCCCCCGGCCGCGGTGGGGGTGTCTCCTGGTTGGTGAGGCCCAGTGGGCGCAGGCCGAGGCCCCCGGCCGCGGTGGGGGTGTCTCCTGGTTGGTGAGGCCCCGTGGGCGCAGGCCGAGGCCCCCGGCCGCGGTGGGTGTGTCTCCTGGTTGGTGAGGCCCCGTGGGCGCAGGCCGAGGCCCGCGGCCGCGGTGGGGGTGTCTCCTGGTTGGTGAGGCCCCGTGGGCGCAGGCCGAGGCCCGCGGCCGCGGTGGGGGTGTCTCCTGGTTGGTGAGGCTCTGGCCTGGCCCCGGCGGGGCCCCCCCTCCCCGCAGTCGCGGTGGGGGTGTCTTCTCCACGGGTCCTCGCTGCCCGACTTCCTCTGCGCAGCTAGGGGGAGGGCGCGGGGAGGGGCCTAGAACTGTTTTTCTCAAACAGCGTGCTTGGAAGGGATGACGTGGTCCAAAGGGAAGCTTTCTCTATCTGACCTAAGTAATCCCTCTGGACACCACCTTTATAACAACAATTTTTAAAAAATTCTCAGCCCTCCTCACTGTTGAGAGGAAAGTCACTCTCTACGTAGACTTTTAGGCTTCATACCCGTTGAATATGATAATGATGCCACAGTGATTTTTTTCGTGAACTCAGGGCCTGGGTATTCTCCCTGAGCTTTTTTTGCCCAAGGCTACTCGGTGCCACTTCCGGTTTTTATCTGTGTATGTGGTACTAAGGAATCAAACCTAGGGCTTCATGCATGCTAGGCAAGCACTCTACCACTGTCACATTCCCAGCCAACCACGGTGATTTTTTTGGGGGGGGAGGGGGTGGGGAATGGGCCAGGGGTTTCAGCTTGGGCCTTGGCTCCATCCTTGAGCCTTTCTGTGCTCAAGGCTAGTGATCTACCACGTGAGCCGCAGCACCACTTCTTGTTTTTTCTGAGTAGTGTATTGGAGATGAGTCTCAAGGGCTTTTCTGCCCCAGCTGGCTTTGAACTGCGATCCTCAGATCTCAGCCTCCTAGAGTAGCTAAGATAACAGGTGTGAGCCGCCATCTCCTGGCCACAGTGATTCTTAATCATGCCAAAGTTCAATTGGTTAGAGAAGTAAACTTAGGAAGAAGGGCCTTGAAGGAGTGCTGGCAGGAACTGGGGAAGTCTTTCTTTTTCTTCCTGAGATGGCCAGTTTTTCTTACAGCATCCTTAGTGATTTTCCTCCTCTAGTCTGGTTCTCCATCCTTTCCAGGGACAACTACAGGTCGAGCCACGTACTATCTTCTTTCCAACTCTGAAGGCACCCCTACGATGTGTTTATATCCATTCCTGTCCTGGGGAGTATTTGACATTGAGTCCTTTTTCTCCCTTGTCTGTGATTTTATGTGTGTGTGGGTGGTCAGTCATGGGGCTTGAACTCAGGGCTAGTGCCCTACCATCTTGAGCACAGCCCCGCTTCCGGTTTTCTGGTGGTTAACTGATGATAAGCCAGGACTGGCTTTGAACAGCAATCCTCAGATCTCAGCCTCCTGAGGAGCTAGGATTACAGGCGTCAGCCCCCAGCATCTGTGATGTTTTTAGCTCTTTTATCTTCCAACACACCAGAGGGCTTGTCCTGCTAACCACTTGTAGTGAGATGGGCTCTCCTGTTTTTTCAGGGGCCAATGCTATTTGAAGATCTGGCCGTGCATTTTTCTCAAGAGGAATGTGTGAGTCCACATGCTGCTCCAGGGCCCCGGAGCAGAAAGGCCACCAAGGAATGTTTGGACGATGGGACTCGCATTGGTAAGGCGGTTTTTCTTGCTGTGCTTTGGGAATTTTGTGTGTTCCAGGATGCGGATTTCATGCCTTCTCCACATGTTGATGGTGTTGAATAATACCCTTTTTCTAGGTGATTGTATCTTTGTGATAACAACTTACATGAAAGAACAAGTTTCAAAGTCTGAGATTATCTTTTCAGATGTGTTTTACTATTATATATGAGTAGCCTTCATTTCTGGGTTTGGTTATATTTTTTTCGTGTTTTATATCTTCTACTTTGTCATGTTCATGTTTACTACCTTCTTGACCAAATGGAGTATATTTATAATAGCTTTTAAAACATTTTTTGTGCTAGTTTTATCAGGTGTGTCCTTCTTGGGTCTGTTTCCATTGATGGGTTTTTCTCCTCTTACTAAGTCACAGTTTCCTAATTCTTTCACATGCCTTGTAAATTTTTAGTAGATTTTGGACATTGTGAATTTTATGTTTGTTGATGTCTTTTGTTGTATTTTAGAAAATAGTTTTGCACTTTGTTTCAGGATGCAGTTATCTGAAGTCAGTTTGATCCTTTCAGGGTTTGCCTTTGCTTTATTATGGTGAATTCAGATCAGCCTATTGCCTTATTTGGCCTATTGCTTAGGCAGTATTTTCTGAGGAGACTAATGTCCTATGTATTAGGTCTTTCCACTTTGGGTCATGAATCTTTGCTTTGTATATTCATCTGCAGTGGTACTTTCCGTAGGTTTGAGTAGCTTCTACAGATAGAGGCAGATTAGTATTCGGCAAGAGTTCTTTAAAAAAAAAAAAAAAAAAATTAGGGTCTGGGAAGGTGGCTCACTGGTAGAGCGCTTGCCTTGCATGTATTGAGGCCCTGTGGTTTGATTCCTCAGCACCACATAACCAGAAAAGGCTGGAAGTGGCGCTGTGGCTCAAGTGAGAGTGCTAGCCTTGAGCTGAAGACAGCTCAGGGACAATGCCCAGGCCCATTGTTCAAGCCCCACGACCGACCAAAAAAAAAGGTAGTATGGAGGTTTAACTACAGGGCCTCAAATTTTCTAGGCAGGCACTCTACTACTTGAACCACACATGTAACTTTTTTTGCTTTAATTCTTATTTTTTGTTGTTGGTTGTGGGGCTTGAACTCGGGGCCTGGGAACTGCCTCTGAGCCTCTTTGTGCTCAAGGCTAGCACTCTACCTTTTGAGCCACAGTGCCACTTGTGGTTTTCTGGTGGTTAACTGGAGATAAGAATCTCCTGAACTTTCCTGGCCAGGATAGCTTCAAACATAGACCCTCAGATCTCAGCCTCCTGACAGGCATGAGCCACCAGCGTTTTGCTTTGTGTCAGCCTTGGCTAGGATTCTATTATTTAAGGTCTCATGTGTAGGTTGGATTACAGCAGCAGACCTCCACACCTGTTTTTTTTTTTTTTTTTTTTTGTTTAGATGGGGTTCTGCTAACTTTATGTGTGCAGATGTTTGGCCTAGGCTCATCTTGAACCTGAATTTTACTTCCTGAATAGCAAATGTCTCAAAAAAAAATATTTTAAAGGGAATTGCATGCAGATAATCTAAGTCTGTTTCTGGGGAGCTATTTGTTTTGCAGTTATTTTGCTCTGGAATCCATTTGAGATTTGCATTGGAATCCATTATCTCTGAATTCATTCTCACATCAGCAAAACCACTGTAAACTATTTGCATTTACATTCATTGTACTGCAGCCCAGAAACACCTTGCAGTCAGTGACCTGGGACAATCATCAGACTTTGTTTCATTGGAAGGAAAGGTCCTTTCTGTAGTAATACTCATTGGAAGGAAAGGTCCCTTCTGTGTTAATATTCTGGCTTTACAAATGAAGAATAGAGTTGTCCTTCCTATCCACAAGAGACTGGTTCTAGGACACAGCCAACCTCTTCCTTCTCCCCTCTGCGACTTCCCCTCCCCGCAAGATGCCAAACTCTGAAAATGCTCATCTGTTACACAAAGTGGTGTAGTATTTGTATGTGAGCTATTCATGGCCTCCCACAGACTTTTAAATCATATCTAGATTACTTACAATACTAATATAGGTTAAAAACAGTATAAGGAGTGCTTGCATTGTATTGTTTGGGAAAGAATGAAAGAAGAAAAGTATATGCTCATCACAGATGTGACATCTGCTGTGAATATTTTCAATCTGTGATTGGTTGAATCTACGATTCAGAGGCTGTAGATGTGTAGGGCTACTTATGTGCAGAAAAATATTAAAAAGAAATTCTTTTTGCCACCTTCAAGTTTTGTCAGCCACTTTTGAGAGAACATTATTTGCCCATGGCACACAGCAGTCTACTTTGATCCTTCCCTGAAGGATAGTGACAGTGAGGCTGCTCTGGGAAACCTGTGTTTCTTTGTTAAGGCAGAAAAATTACCAAAACTTACCTTTTTGGTAAATAAGTACGTCAATCTCAATTATATTTTGCATGTGTGTTACTTCTCCTTTGTACTCAGTGTGAGCTCAGAACCTTTTAACTAGCTAGGCGAGTGTTCTACTAGGGCCATACCCTCCAGCTATCCATTCCAGAGTTGATACCTCACTGTCCCTGAGGTAACTTATATAATGAAAATTTCTGTGTGTGTGTGTGTACGCGCACGTACATGCATGCCTATGCCAGTACTAAGGCTTCCATTTGGCCTTTTGCCTGCTCCCTGGCTTTCTTGCTCAGGGCTAGTGCTCTACCACTTGATCATACCTCCTGTCAATATTTTTGTTGATGGAATCTCAGTTTCTGTTCAGGCTGGCTTTGAACTTTGCAACTCTCCAGGTCTCAGACTGCTGAGTAGCTAAGGTTTCAGATGGGAGCCACCAGCACCAGTCTGTGAAAAGCTCTTGAGATCAAAACAGACTAAGTAGAAAACCATTCATTTAGTCAGCATCTGCCAAGCTTGTCCCTAGCACTTGTCCTTCTGGCCCTTACTGATCACCATTCTCTGCTCTCTCCTTCTAGTATATTTCTGGAGAATTGGATTTTTTGGGAAGTCACGAGAGCCTTGTGGCTCTCAACGGTGCCTATTTGTCAGTTTCTGCATTTAAGAGAACCTATGTGCTGTTTCCTAGTCTTCTGTGTAACTACTTGAACTTTCCCTTCCCTAGTTTCACCTCCAGGCATTGTCTGTTTTGCCTTATTTTGTTTTTTATCAACAGGAGTGGAAGGCAAGACTGACACTAACCCGCAGTTAAGCCTAGAGTCTATGGAATTTGAAGAGCATTCCCTAGAGCACTCCATTGCTTCACCCCTTGTTGATTATCCAGAATCTTCTGAAGATGAGGTTACATTCCCTGAATGGAAAATATCAAGTGGAACTTCCACTTGCAAAAAACGATTCATAAACCTTTTAATTACCATTGACAACCATACCCCATTAGTAGAACTCTCTCAGTATTTAGGAACCAGAACACTTTCAGAAATTACTGAGCCTCCCGGGGAAGAACCCCCTGACAATGTTTACCAGAGTGCTGAATGTGACCAAACCTTCTGTGATAATTCATACCTTGGTTTACGTCAGAAAACTCATTCAAGAGAGAACCAGTATACATGTGATGACTGTGGGAAGATCTTCAATCATAGAGCCAACTTGAGGACGCACAGGAGAGTCCACACTGGTGAGAAGCCATATAAGTGTGTCAAGTGTGCTGCCAGGTTCCGCCAGCACTCCCATCTGTCCCGGCACATGAAGAGCCACACAAAGCAGAAACCCTACCCGTGTGCCGTATGTGGGAGAGGCTTTAAGTGGCTCTCAGACTTGACCCAGCATCAGAAAAGCCACACTGCTGAAAAAACAGATAAGCATGCTAACCACGATAAAAATTCTGCTAAGAAACATGTGGCTTTGCATAAAAAAACCAGAACACCAACTTCAAGTCACCGAAACATTGCGTGTACCCACTGCGGTAAATACTGTGGGAAGAAAAGAAGTCGGGCCTCACGTAAAAAAACCAGCACACTTAAGTGTGCCAACTGCGGTAAACACTGTGGCAAAAAAGCCAATGTGGCTTCACGTAAAAAAAACAGCACACCAACTCCAACTCACAAAAACAATGCGTGTGCTGGCTGTCATAAATCCTCTAGAAAGAAAACAAATCTGGCTTTACATAAAAAACCCAGCACACCAACTTGCTCAACTCACAAAAACACTCTGTGTGCTCACTGTAAAAAATCCTCTGGGAAGAAAACTAATCCCGCTTTGCGTAAAAAAACCAGCACATCAACTTCAACTCACCGAAAAACACTGTGTGCTCACTGCAAGAAACACTGTGGGAAGAAAACAAATGCGGCTTCACGTAAAAAAACCAGCACCTCAACCTCAACTCACCACAACACTGCATGTGCTCACTGTAAGAAACGCTGTGGGAAGAAAACAAATCCAGCTTTGCGTAAAAAAACCAGCACATCAACTTCAACTCACCGAAAAACTACGTGTGCTCACTGCAAGAAATGCTCTGGGAAGAAAGCAAATCTGGCTTCGCGAAAAAAATCCAGCACATCAACTTCAACTCACCGGAATGCTGTATGTGCTCACTGTAAGAAACGCTCTGGTAAAAAAACAAACACGGCTTTGCATAAAAAAACCAGCACACCAACTTCAGCTTACCAAAATACTGCCTGTGCTAACCATGATAAACACTCTGGAAAGACATTAAATCTGGCTTTGCATAAAAAAGCCAGCACACTGACCTCTCTCTACCAGAACACTCTTTTTGGTAACCATGATAAATATTCTGGTGGGAAAACAAATGTGGCTTTGAATGAAAAAACCAGCACAGCACCCTCTCCTTACCGGTATGATCCCTGTGAGAACTATGATACATATTCTGGTGGGAAAACAAATGTGGTTTTGCATAAAAAGCCCAGCATACCACCTTCTCCTTACCAGCATGTTCCCTATGCTCATGATGAGAGATATTGTGTGGGGAAAACAAATGTGGCTCTGAATGAAGATTCCAGCACACAGACCTATCCTTACCAGGATGCTCCCTATGCTCATGATGAGAAATATTCTACTGGAAAAATAAATGTGGCTCTGAATGAAGACTGCAGCACACAGACCTTTCCTTACCAAGATGCTCCCTATGCTCATGATGAGAAATATTCTACTGGGAAAATAAATGTGTCTCTGAGTGAAGACTGCAGCACACAGACCTCTTATGCTCCCTATGCTCATGATGACAAGTATTCAATTGGGAAGATGAATGTGGATCTCAATGGAGATTCCAGCACACAGGCCTCGCCTTACCAGAATGCTCTGAGCGTGAAGAGCTCTGGGACATCCTCGAGTCGCCCCCTCCTGGAGCAGGGCTTCAAGGAGGAACCCGATCAGAGCAGCACTGATGACGAAAACTATTACATCTTCTCCCAGTTCAAACCATTACAGTGTCTTGACTGTGACAAGACCTTCCCTTGTTTCTCTAAGCTTATTTCTCACCAAAGCATTCACACTGGGGAAAAGCCCCATAAGTGTAAAGTATGTGCAAAAAGTTTTGCTTTGGAGTCAGAACTCACATGCCACCAGAAGAGCCACACAGAAGAGAAACCTTATAAATGTACGGAGTGTGGCAAGAGTTTTAAAGTGTATATGCGTCTCATTATTCATAGGCAAACCCACAAGAAAAGCACCATATAATTAGAACAAGTTTTTGCTAATGCCTAGGGGATCTCTGTGGTGAGAAAGTTACTGTTCATGTGCCAGGCGCCATGTTCCAGCCCTATACATACATTCCACTATATATTTAATTCTTACCACAACCTTAACTTAGGCAGTATTTTTCCTTATTCCTAATTAAGGAATGCCACTAGCACACACTTACCACTGGAGCCACAATTTGAACTCAGTTATCAAATTCCATTTATATGAGCCAGAGAAATATAGAACTTTAAATTTTAAAAAAAATCCAGTTTTCAGTAAAATGAAGGTTATTGCTAGAGTTCTTTTAGTTTTTTATGTCGTTTAAACAATGTTCTAGAGGGAAAACTTATTTTTTTGCCAGTTTTGCACATGTGTCTAGGAAAGTGAGTGTTTTTTGTGTCTTTTATACATTTCATATGACTATCTGAGTGTAATATTTGTAAGAGATCATTGTTTTACAAGAGAATTTCTATAAGAGTTTAGGACCACATTTTAATTTTTTTTTTCAGACAGGGTCTTGTTATATAGCCTAGGCTGGCCTTGCAATCAAGATCCTCTAGCCTTTCTTCCTGAGAGCTGGAATTATAGGCATGCACTACCATGGCTGGCTACTTGATATCTTGTAATAGACAGTCTATGGAGTTTCCATTCTTAAATCTGATGGCAGAAGCAGGTACTGCCATCTGTGACTTAAGTGCTTCACAGGAGTTTTAGTAATATAATTACAGCCCTTTTCAGGAGGTTGGATGGACTTGGTTTGTGGAAAATACCTGCTCTTCTCTAGAAGGATCTGTCTCCAGATCACTACTAAAACAAATAACCTGATTTGTTATAAATAATCCTAACTTTGTGTGTGTGCATGTACATGAGTATGTGTGTGTGCTGTATGTGTGCGCTGCTACTGGGGCTTGAACTCAAATCCTGGGTGCTGCCCTTAGCTTTGTTTTTTTTTAACCACTTGAGACACAGCTCCACTTCTGGCTTTTTCGTGGCTAATTGGAGATGAGAGTCTCACAGACTTTCCTGCCTAGGCTGGCTTCAAACTGTGATCTCAGCCTCCTGAGTAGCTGGGACTACAAGCATAAGCCACTGGCACCCAGCTTTCATAACTGTTTGTTTTATTTTCTCTGAGCACGCTAGAAACTTTAGGTATATTATGTAATTTAATCTTTAGAGTAAATCTGTGACAGAGGTAAATCTGTGACAGAGAAGAGATTGTTCTTGTTTCATGAATGAGGAAACAGAAGTCCTCAGAGGGTGAGGTCAGAATTTGCTAAGCCACAAAACATCATATTGTGATGATGCTGACACTGCATTGAGGTAGCCTCAAAGGTCATGCACTTTTTGATACTGTACTGCCTCTTGGCCTTGGCAACACAGCTAGCACCTCTAGGAGACAAGGAGGCTAAAATAGGATAGGAGGATGATCATTATACACGTAATCCCAGAATCCTTTCTACTTTGCCCAAGGCCTGACTGTCACGTTCACATACAAGGAAAGGGAAGAGTCTCCAAGGACTTCTAGTTTAAACTCCCTATCCTACATCAGGTCAGAAGTTTCACATTCCATGATAGTACATCATGAAGGCTTTAGTTTTGGCTTAAGAAAAAGAATCTTTTCTCCATTTCCAAAGAAAAATATGTATAGAAATTGTTTGGCTTTTGATCAAAACTCTTTGATGTAGATACCATTACAGAAAAAAATATTGGAACAAAATATTGTCAAATATTATGGCTATTAAGAACTAGAGGATATGAATATATGTTCACGTGGAATTACTTCACAGCAAAATTGATTGTATAGATACAACAAAGCCGAATTTAAGTGGTCTTGATTAAAAGAATGGCCTCATTCTGTTTAAATAGGTTATAAAAGTACAGTACTTACTAGAGTAGGATTATTGCTGAAAAGTATCATGGTCTTCTTGCCAATCAGCTGGATTTCAGAAGGCAGTCCTACAAAAGAGCAGGTTGAGAAGCTGATGTCTTGAAAGATGCTGGCTGCTGCAGCAGGAATGAGAAAGGCTGAAACCAGCAGTGTCTATTCTTTTTTGGGGGGGGGGGTCCGATTGAGGGGCTCAAGGGGCCTGAACTCTAGGCCTGGGCGCTGTCCCTCAGCTCTTCAGCTCAAGGCCAGCGCTCTACCACTTGAGCCACGGCGCCACTTCTGGCTTTTTTCATTTTGCTTATGTGGTGCTGAGGAATCGAACCCAGGGCCTCATGCATGCAAGGCAAGCGCTCTACCACTGAGCCAACTTCCCAGCCCCAAGCAGTGTCTATTCTTTTTCCCCTATCTGTCACCTGGTTTTTAAATTGTGGACTCAAAATTGAGACTATGTGCCCTGCCCTGTATATCAAGGTCACACTTGGCCTTGGATCTTTGTTTCTGTATCCACTCTTAGAGGATATAAGACATTATGTCAGAGATTCAAAGGCTTAAGTTAAAAATAAAGGCAGCTGGGCGCCAGTGGCTCACGCCTGTAATCCTAGCTACTCAGGAGGCTGAGACCTGAGGATCACAGTTCAAAGCCAGCCCAGGCAGGAAAGTCCGAGAAACTCTTATCTCCAATAAACTACCAGAAAACTGGAAGTGGCACCTTGGCTCAAGTGGTAGAGCCTTGAGCTGAAGAATGCAGGGACAGCGCCCAAGCCCAGAGTTCAAGCCCCACAACCGACTAAAAAAAAAAGAAAAAATAGAGGCCTTCAGTTCACCTTTGAGATACTTTGAATTGTGTAGATGTTCCTCAGTTTTCTTTGCAACTAACGCAAGGGTATAGTGATGTTTACTCAAGAGCAATGCCTTTCTTCAGATTCTGTTCTCAGTGGGAGGAATTGGCAAGGTACCCATATACTCATAGTATTCCAGCTTTAAGAGAGCTGGGAGGCAAGGAGTAACTGGGTTTCCACCAGCATATTTGCTGCAGAAAGAAGTAGATCTCAGACGGCACTTGAACAGTGATAGAAAAAACAGAAGCAGTCAGTCATGCTTTCTTTGCTTCTAAGAAAATGTAGATGAGAATTTGTCCAAGTTCTGTTGCGCACATTAATACAGAACTTCATCTTTCCAGATATTTCCTTCAGCATTTACCTTTTAGTATTCGCAGCTTTCTGTATTTGACAGCTTTTGCCAAACAATTCATTAAAAAATTAGAAAAAAAATAACATTTTACAGAACAGTTAACATACTCATGGGAATAATCATTCTGTTGTGACTAGTATGTAGGGGAAAAAGCCTGAATATTAGTTACTGTGAAATAGGCATATTTTAGTTGTCCTGCAGTGCCCTTGTTTTTCGTTACATGTTACTCAAGCTACTATGCCAGTGGTGTTCAGGCTATTTTTATGATAATGGTCTCTTCATCCTCCTGTTCTGTCAAACAATAAAGGCAGACCCCATAAGATTGTTTCTAACTCAGATATTACTAGCTTTTCATGTTAGTGTTTGTTAAATACTGCATAAAGCCAATCCAGGGATGAAAAACTAAATGTAAAAGTTTGTTACTGTGCATAGTTGGCTAACTACATGTTTACAGAGTGAAAACTCTGTGGAACTGGCTTTTATTGTTGATGCAGTGATGAACTGTGTACCTAACATGATTGCTGGCTTATGGAGCTCTGTTGTTTTAGTCTTGTAGATTAGGAGAGCTATTGATCTGGGGTAAAGATGACTGTTACCATCTTTCGAAGGACATTTGATTACAGGTGTTCTGTCTTTTTGAATTGAGATCTCTCCTAGCATGAACAGTTCAGGGGAAAAGGTGAAGACAACATAAATACATGTTTATATCATTCTAAGAATGTACTGTAATCTCTACTGTTTGGATACCTAAGAAGTATGTTTACCATATGCACTTTTGGTTATTTAATGTTTCAGCATATGCACTTTTGTTTATGTAGTGATCCGGCTTCTGCTGTTCTTGGTGCGTTCTCATTGTTCTAGCGCTAGATTGCAGTCTTTCGGCAGACTGATGGTGTCTATGTGATGTGCAATTTTTCATTGTAATAAATAGTATTTTGTGGTGAAGGCGAGGTGAATTTTTTCGTTTCTTTTGTCGGTCGTGGGGCCTGGGCGCTGTCTCTCAGCTCTTCAGCTCAAGGCGAGCGCTCTACTTGAGCCACAGCGCCACTTCCGGCTTTTCCTGCTTATGGAACCCGGGGCCTCAGGCCTGCGAGGTGAGCGCTCTACCCCTGAGCCACCTTCCCAGCCCGTCTTTCACTGCGCCGTGGATGTTAAAGACTGGTTCGATTGTGGCTTCAAGCGAGCGTTTCACCCACTGAAGCAAAGAAATGAGGCCGTGGCTCGGGCCTGACCTACCTCGGGCCTGGGCCGCGCAGGGCGAGGCGGCTCCGCTCCGCGGGCAGCGGGCGTCCAGCGTGGGAGGCGCGGCCGCGCCAGGCCGCGCCGGGGGCCGGGCAGGACCGGGGGCCGGGCAGGACCGGGGGCCGGGCCGCGCCGGGGGCCGGGCAGGACCGGGGGCCGGGCAGGACCGGGGGCCGGGCCGCGCCGGGGGCCGGGCAGGACCGGGGGCCGGGCAGGACCGGGGACCGGCTCCCGTGGCCTCCGGGAGCCGCACCCGACACGCCGCGGCGGATGCCAGCCGATCGCAGTGCCACGGCTGCGGTGGGCAGGACCGGAAGCAGGCGGCATTCGCTTCCGGCTGCGCCTGCGCGGTCCTCAGGCCGGTGGAGGGGCTCCCCCCCTCCCCCGCGAGTCACCCGCGTCCTCTGCGGCAACGCGGCCGAGGGCCTCGGCCGGCCGACTCGCGTCCATGACGAGCTCGTGCTCGGCGGCGCGGAGGCATCGCGGTGCCTCGGCTGGGGCCTGCGCCCGCTGCCTGCGCCCGCTGCCTGCGCCGGGCACCGGCCCCGCCCCGCCCCGGCCTGACCTAGCTGCGCGCGTTGAGGGGCTGCTGCGCATGCGCGCGCGCATGCGCCTCCTGGGCGCTGCGGTTCTGATTTGCCGTAGAGCGTCTTCTCCCTCGGTGGGCCCTGCGAAGACGTGCGCGCGAGCTCACCGCACGAGCACGCATGCCGGCGTGTGTACACGTACAGATGCAGATACATACTTCAAGCTGTAGAGAGGGCATTTTGAGACAGCCTCACTACGTTGCCCAGCGGGCCGTGAACTGGAAGCTCAGTCTTCCCACATCAGCCTCCTGAGTAGATGGGACTACAGACGCCGTGGCACCACAGCCGGCTTCAGCCAGATTCTGTGTGCTTCCGGTTAGCTAGAGTTTAACCCCTGCTCACTGTGGGCCAACGGTCTCCCAAATGGCCCTCGCCATTTCTGTGGCCACACATACTTCAGACGATGTCAGATTTCTCCTCTTGCCTGAATTCCAAATTCGTCTTTTGATGTCTCTGAGTCGAAACTCCCCAAATGTAACTCCTATTTTAGCCTCTTATCTGTCTGCCTTCACTACATGGTACCCCATCTACACCCATTACACATGCTGTCATCTTTCTTTCTTACTCCTCTCTTACTATAGCTTAAATATATCAGTGTCTTCCCCCAAATTCCTGTAGTGGAATTCTAATTCTATGGCCCCATTAGCCTAATGCTTGTTTTTTTTGGTCGGTCATGAGGCTTGAACTTTGGGCGTAGGCACTGCCCCTCAGCTCTTCAGCTCTACCACTTGAGCCACAGCGCCACTTCTGGTTTTCTGGTGGTTTATTGGAGATAAGAGTCTCACAGACTTTCCTGCCCAGACTGGCTTTGACCCACCATCCCTCAGATCTCAGCCTCTTGAGTAGCTAGGGTTACAGACGTGAGCCCCCGGTGCCAGCCTTAGCCTAATGCTTTCAAGGTTCATTCATGTGTGTGTCAGAGCTTCGTTCCTGTCTCCCTAGGGGCAACACAAGGACCAAAGACCCAGAGCAAGAGACACCCCCACCCTGAAATGGCTGTCATCCTATAAACGGTGGCTCCTGGGGTAAGGACTGCAGACAAAGAGGGGAAGGCTCTCTTGGTGCCTGGAGATGCTATAACTAAAGCTGGTTGTAAGCTACAACCAGCGTTTCATGCTGAGGCCCTGGTGAAGCATGCCTGGGTGGTGGGGGGTGCAACAGGTTTCTAAATCTGAATATAGGGTTCCGGGCCTTCCTCTGGGCCACTGGACTGTTACTGACCCCATGTCTGGAGGTGAGCTTTATACCAAAGGCGAGCCAGGCTGGCAGGCAAAGGCAGGGCAGGGCAGTACCACACATCTTTTGGGGAAGAATCACGTCCACATGATTTTGCCACGTTTATTCAAGGTCCACAACTGAACAGGTACACAAAGACATTTAGACAGCTTCTGATCTGTATTCAGAAGAGGAATCACGCTCATTGGGTCTATGAAACACACTTAGCTGCAAAAATTGTTTTTTAAGGGTGAATCCCCAAGCCAACCCTAAAAGAAAAGTGGGACTCTGTGGTTCTTGTCTTTTTCCAGATCCTTTTTTACTCAGAGTTGACTCAAGATAGACTGCTGTGGGGGCTAAATCATGCCCCCTCCCCCCAAAAAATACATTCATATCCTACACCCTGGAGCCTGCAGTTGTTACCTTATGTGACAAAAGAGTTTTGGCCTGCGAAGGATCTTGAGATGGAGACATTATCCCAGGGGCCACAGTCCCCTAAGAGGAAAGCAAGGGCCAGAAATGGTGACGCGATGGCAGGTGGAGGATGAACTTGGAAGATGGAAAAGGGGGCTGCAAGCCAAAGGATGCAGGTAGCCACGAGCAGAAGGAGTCAAGGGAGCAGGTCACCTCTCAGAGCCTCCGGGGGACCAGTCTGCCCACAGCTTGATTGGGCTGAATGAAAGGGATTCACATTTCTAACTTCCAGAACCACAGTGGAAGTTTTTTTTATGTATTATGCCACCAAGTTTGCAATAACAAAAACTAATTACAGACATGATTAAGACTTGGAGGTTACTAGGAAACAACAGTGAAATAGGCCTGGAGTAAGAGAGGGTCGGAAGGGGTAAGTACAATGAGCAGTGCAGGCCCTGGCCAGGATGGCTGTAAGATAAGACATGGAGCAGGCAGAAGACCAAATTCCTCCATGATTTCACAGAGCAGTGGGAAGGAGCCTCTCCAGGGGTCTCCGGGGCTAGCAGGAAGGCCACTGGCAAAAGGCAGAGATTAGGTCTGCGTGCTCCACGGCCACATCACCAGTCACAGTGTGGCTCTGCAGCCAGGAAGAGGTCGCTCTGATGGCAGATGCCTCAAGCGTTCAGTGACTTTATCTTGGCTGGACATGGGCCAAGTCCCCGAGCTAAAATAATGGCAAACAAGGTGCTGGTCTTGAAAGAGCGTGAGAGAGCCCCCTACTTGCTGGGACCACAAACTGTACTGTGGTGCTGTCCTGTGCACTGGAGGACACTGGCGGGATCCTGGGCTCCAACTACGAGAGGCCAGGAACCGCCCTCCCTCCCTGGAGTCAGCAGCTGCAGGAACGGTCAACTACCCCTTGGGGGGAAAGACTGATATCAGGCTGAGCGCTCCTAGTATGGACTCTAGCAGGGGGCTCACCCAAGTTTGCTGCCGCGTCTGCCTGGGGCTCTGTGCAGGCCATTTGTGTGTGTGTGTGTGTGTGTGTGTGTGTGTGTGTGTGTGTGTGTGTGTGTGTGTGCATGTGTGTGCGTGCGTGCGTGTGTGCGCTTGTGTTGGTTGTACTAGGGTTTGAGCTCAGGCGCTGAGCTTAGTTGAGCCACGCCCTCAACCTTCTTTTGTTTTCAGTTATTTTTCAGATTGGATTTCATACTTTGGGATCTGAGGCCAGCTTGCCCCAGTGATTCTCCTACCTCTGCCTACTAAGTAGTTGGCATTACAGATGCATGCCACTGTGCCAGGCCGCAGGCAGCTCTTCTGAGATCCAGGGAGGACAGAGTAGGAGTGGCAGAAATGAAAGGCAAAGCAAGGGAACAGTATATAAAGCTCCCCCCATGACCCAGAAATACTCATGGTGAATGCCCATTCTTCAGCAGAAGGGGCAGAAGAGCACAGGCCGCAGCCCTGAGGTGACTGACCTGAAGCTGTTTAAAGAGTCCTATGGGGGCCTCGTTCTGCATGAGGAACTAGCGCGCGCATCTGCCTGCAGTCCTCCCTACATGGAGAAGGGGCGTGGCTGGCCACGGTGACCTGGAATCACACAATTACAGCTGATTAGGCTTCCTTCTACCCTGGCGAGCAAGGGGTGGGGCTAGAGCGTCTCTCAGGCTTATTTCCACAAGTAACATTTTATATAAATATATTTTGTCATTTTCAACATGGCTATTGAGGTATGATTTATATATCATAAAATTAACCCATTTCAAGGACTTCATAAAGTCACTGGGTTGTGCAGCCGCCACTGCAGCCCAGCTTCAAACGCTTATCACTGCAGCCATTTTATCCTTAACACTCAATGGCTCGCGTGAGAAAGGAGAGCAGGCAGGATTCCCTCTTGCAGCTCCGCAGCAGCATTGCCCACTCCTTGGGTCTCATCGGCTCTTGGGCCGCAGCTGTAGCCACTGTGTAGATTTTTCTTTCTCTAACTTAAAAGGCGCTTTGCTACTAACGTCCTCCAATGCAATCTTTGTTTTCTAAAGGCACCACCTACCTGCTTGGAAATTCTCTCTTTACGTAGACATATATATTCTCACTTAATTTGTTCTTTGTTAAGAGCAGTGAGGAAGAACAGAGAGATGACTGGGAGGTAATTCCCAATGAACACGGCCTTGGGGTCGGTGAGCTGCTCAGGCGAACACAGGAGAGTAACTGTCTGGAATGATAGCAAATGCAAAACTGCTTGCGGTTGACTCTTTGACCTACTGTAGAGCATAAATAAAGCATGAGGGAGGAAAGGCCGCCTGCAGTCGTTCGGATGCTCCCGGGGGTCACTCTCACGTGGCTAGAGACTAGTTCTCTGTCCCAATACCAGAGCTGGCATCTGCACCCAGTCACAGCACGGGCAGGCCAGGCCAGGCCACCGCAGCCTCTTCGCCGTTCTTCACATCGCTCCACACCCTGAGGGCCACTTGCTCTCTTGGTAAGTGACGCGGACCGACGGTGATGTACATGCAGGTGGGGGAAGGAGCGGCCTCAGCTCACGGCCTCCCTGGGACCTGAAGCGACAATGCCTCTCAGTCCCTGTGGTGGAGCCTGTGGTGCTGGTGGAGGTTTGAGCTTTGGCGAAAGCTTTTCCCACACTGGCCACACTGGTAGGGCTTCTCCCCAGTGTGGATCCTCTGGTGTAATTTCAGGGTCGACTGCCGCCCGAAGCAGTTCCCGCACTCCCCGCAGCTGTAGGGCCTCTCTCCCGTGTGCACCCTCTTGTGTCGTTTCAGCTCGGAATTCCACGTGAAGCTTTTCCCACAGTCGTCACATTTGTAAGGTTTCTTGGCCGTGTAGGCTGGCTGGTGAGCGAGACGCTGCAGGCGGCTACTCAGGGTTCTTTTGCCTCCTTTGCTTTTCTTCAGCTCCCTCAGCGGGTGGCTTTTGACGGGGCTGCTGTATTCCAGTTCCCGGCGATGTCGCTTGTAGGGAGCATATGGCTTCTGAGCATTCGAGGGACCCACCTGCTTCCCGGACAAGTGGGCTTCACCTAGGTTTGCGCCTCTCGGTTCGGGGCTCTGCAGAGCATTCGCCTTGGGCCTGCCGGCCGGCACGACACCTGACTTTGTTCCTCTGGCCCCTTCTGGCCGTGGATTCTCCTTGTTGTCACTTTTCATCCCAGACTCCTCTATAATTGGAAACAATATGCTTCATTTACTGCACTTAGAGGAAGAGTCAGAGTCATAGCACACACTGCAGTGTTGCTCAAAGGGTAGGGCAGCCCTCCACCGCAGCAGCTTGCATAGAATCCTCTGGGGTACCTGTGAGCAGGCAGGCATCCAGCCCCTCCCTCGAAGCTACTGAACCAGAATCTTTTGACACTTTGGCCAGGGAATTTTCAATGGGTTTAACATAAATCTGAGGATGTGTATTAAAGTTAAGAACCAAGCTGAGCACAAAAGCCTATAATCCTAGCTACTTGGGAGGCAGAGGGCAGAGGATTGTGGATTGAGGCCAAAATAGCTTCATAGGACTCTACCTCAACCACAGTTGGGTGGGGTGGGACATACGCATTATCCCCAGCTCCCGTTAACGCACACTTACTACCCAAATGGCAAAGGGAAGCCCAAGCACCTTCTCTCCAAAACCCTGACTCCAATCCCCAGAACCACCAAAAAAGTTTAAAAACAAAATTGGGAACCAAATTCTCCAGACCCTTTCCTCTTTTGTGCTTTTAGGGAAAGGTTTAGGAAAAGCAAGCCCATCAGATCCGAATGTCATCTAATGAATGAAAGAAAGAAGACAGTGGAAATAGAATTAGTGCCCTACCAAAAAAAAAAAAAAAAAAAAATGTGGGGGTGGGGGCTGGGTGGCTCAGTGGTAGAGTGCTTGCCTTGCATGCATGAAGCCCTGGGTTCGATTCCTCAGCACCACATAAGCAAAAAGAAAAAAATGTGGGGAAATTAGAGTCCTCAGCTTTTATTGGTGAGAATGTGGAACAATGCAGCTGCTTTGGAAAATGGTCAGCTGGTTCCTCACAAAGTTGAGCATAGATTGACCTGTGGCCTAGACAGTCTACTCTGGGGAGTATACCCAAGAGAAATGAGAACATATATCCATAGAAAACTTGCACATGATTGTGCATGTTCTGTCATGCACTACGTTATCACATATTCACTAAGAGAAAATTATTTTTTAAAAATATACTACTTTCTGCTAATGTGAAGAGGCACTGTTTACCTGTCCCAGCAAGTTTGGGGGCTGGCTCTTGGAGGAGTGGTGATTTCTCCCAATGATGGGGGCTGGATGCCTCATGAGATCCTTCCTGCGAAGGGTCCTCTGGAAAGCTCTCCTTGAGATCTCTTGTAAGGGTTTGCGGTTGGAAGTCTGGCAGTTCCTGATCACCAAGCTGAGCTCCAGTTCTTTCCAAAAGCATCTTCTGCCCCTGTACACAGACGGCCACCTAGGAACAAGCCCCATCTGTTAATGCTTTAAAGATTGAGTGTGAACAGTCTGCGTGTAATTCCTTTACCTTGGGAACTCCTCTAATGATGGCCTATAGACCACTGAGACCCTTCCTCCCAGGAGGCATAAGGAGGGGTCTCAGAATGACAAGCATAAGGGCTGCTTCACACCAAATGATCCATCCAAAATGGCTGCCCTTAAAGCTTAGGCCCCAGGGGCTGGGAAGGTGGCTCAGTGGTACAGCGCTTGCCTTGCATGCCTGAGGCTGTGGGTTCGATTCCTCAGCACCACATAAGCAAAAAGAAAAAAAGCCAGAAGTGGTGCTGTGGCTCAAGTGGTAGAGTGCTAGCCTTGAGCTGAAGAGCTGAGGGACAGCGCCCAGGCCCCAGAGTTCAGGCCCCACGACCAGACCCCCCCCCAAAAAAAGCTTAGGCCCCAGGTCAAAGCCATCTGAGGAGAACTCGCTAGCACAACTATCAGGGTCAGGCATTACACCAGCCCCTGCTTCTTGTGGGAACAGAGAGCAGTATGGTGAGGGGCCCCTGAAGACTTCTCTAATGAATTGTTCTGCTGAAGGATCTTCTGGGAGACAGGTCCCATAGCACTGGGTGTCTAAGACCTGCCTATCTGTTCACTGGCAGCTTCCTTCATTTTCTGAAGCATACCTTGTTTGCTTCCTGCCAAAGGCTCTGACAGGGGTCTGCCTTGGGAGAATAGGGTGGAGAGGAATAGCAATACGGGGTTAACCTTGCTGAAACTGCCGGATTCCAAGGCAAGATGGCAGACACTCTGAGGTATCTGCCATGCTTCATAGTATCAATCAACAAATTGAACAAAATCCAGTGAGATTCCCCCAGCCAATTCCTATCCAACAGGTGAATCCTGCCTGCTAAGAATTCTGATTATAGGGAGACTTCCAGAGGAAGGGGCCAGGGAGATCTGACAACAGAGATTCAAGAGCAAACCATTTCTGGGGACATGAGGCCCCTCACCAGAGGGTTTTGGGAAAACCTGTTAGAACTTGCGGGGGAAGAGGTTCTGGATACAGGCTGGACACAAGGTCGAAAGCCATCCAGCCCTTGTTCATGGGGATGGATACGGAGACAAAACACTGCCCACACGGGAAAGACATGCTGGCAGCAGAAGCCAGGCCCTTCCTTACCCACTGTTTTGGTTTCTTGGATGCTCTGTTGAAATCCTCCACCAGGGTCACGATCTCCTTGCTGCTCTCTGGACACCGATGCCGGACCCGAGCCTGGATCTCGGGGGGCAAGATGATTAGGAACTGCTCCATCACCAGGAGCTCCAAAATCTGTTCCTTGGTGTTCAGCTCCGGCTGGAGCCACTGCCGGCAAAGCTGTCGCAGCTGCGAAAGCGCCTCCTGGGGCCCGGACACCTCCTGGTAGCGGAACCGTCGGAAGCTCTGGCGGGAGAGCTCGGGGTCCGGGCAGGTTTTCTGCTGACTGGGCGCCGGTTTCTCTTCCAGCTTTGTTATGATGTGTCGCTCTTGCTTGGAGGAAGCCTGGCTGTTGGAGCTCAAAGTTATTTCCATTTTAGCTGCCATTTTTGCGCGTGTGTGTGTGTGTGTCAGGAAAAACTACTCTCCTTGTGAGACCGGTCAAGCCTTTGGGATCATGCCCTGGAGAGTCTCCAGATGCCACAAAGACGACAGTCACGAAGTTCCTCCCGAGGATGGACGCAGAGGACCGGCCTTCCTAGCTGCCGGGCATCGCCCCAACTCCGCAGACGGCCGGGTCCTGGGCCGGGAAGAGCCGGTCAGCCGTGGCAGCCCTTCGGAACCGAGCGCCCTGCCCGGGGCTCACAGGACGGGGGCAGCACGATCTAACGGCCAGCTCAAGGATGCCCGGGAAAAGTTGCGGCTGTGGTACAGGTCGCTGGCCCCGACCCTCCGCGCCGCACGGCGACCCCGAGCCCCAGCCGAGGCGGCGCGCTCGCAGCCCCGACGGAGCGCGAGGCAGACCGGGGGGCGCCGCAGGCCCAGTCGGCCTGGGCCCGACGAGACCTGACGGGACGGAGGCGCAGCTCCGCGGCCAGGCCAGGTGCGGCCGAGAGCTGACACCCGCGACGCGACCGTCCCGGGCAGCGGAGGGACCCGCGCCCACCTGCGGCTGTCTCACCTCTCCGCGGCCCGGGACCCGGAACTCCGGAGCGCCGGCCAGGGGCGGGGTCGGACCGCCAACCACGGAAACGCCCACCGCGGGGCGGAGCCGCCTGGGAGGGCCCGCCCCGCGCCCCGAGGGATTGGCTGCTCCGGAATAGGGCCCCCCCCCCCGTTCATTGGCTGTTGTGTTTGTCAAGGTGGTCGCAGGACACGACGGGAACTGTAGTCCAGTAACTCGGACTGCGAGCGTGCGCAGTGGGCGGTCTCTGCCTGACTTGCAGCCCTGCAGCTGAGAATTTGGGGGAGTTGCAAGCGCGTCCTCCGCCTGCTGGAGGGCCTGACCCCCTCGGGTTGGAAGTCCTTGGTCCAGGGGGGACGCCGGGGGCGGGGCTGGGGCGCCTGCGGGCGGGTCACCTGCGACTTGACCCTACTCACCTCGCCCACCTCGCCGGGTGGGGCTCCGAGGGCGACTAACCCCGACACGGACGCAACAGGTGCCGGCCAAGTGGAAAACGAGCCAGCCCGCGCCCCGTCCTCCCCGCGCCTCCCCGGTGCGCGTGGCCGTCGCCAGAGTGGAGTAAGTTGCTGAGAAACCCGCACATCCTATTTCAGCCAAGAATGGGATTTGCGGGCCGGGGAGTCGCAGGCCCCGCCCCCGGCAGGAAACCGGAAGCGCATCTGTGATGCTCCTGGAGCCGCTGGGCGGACAGGGTGCCTGGTCAATGTGCCAGGCCAGACCGCAGGACCTGGTCCTGGCCTTGTGCTTGGGAGCCTCGCTGTAATGCCACAAAGCACAGGCGATGGCTTCTGTTCACCTAAAAGGGCATGCTGACAATAAGAGCCTTGATTTTTCTTTTGTCGGCTGTGGGTTCTGAACTCTGGGCCTGGGCGCTGTCCCTGAGCTTACAGCCCGAGGCCAGCGCTCTACCACGAGAGCCACAGTGTCACTTCCTGCTCGGGCTGGCTTTGAACCGTGATCCTCACATCTCAGCCTCCAGAGCAGCTAAGATTACAGGCGTGAGCCACCGTCGCCGGGCAGCCTTGATTTTTCTATCTCAGGCTCCTCTGCGCAAGCGAAAATGCAAACATTTTTACCATTTTGTTCTTTATTTTTCGCCAGTCTTGCGGTTTTGAACTCAGGGTCTGGGCTCTGTCCCTTAGCTTCTTTTGCTAAAGGCTAGCACTCTACCACTTGAGCCACAGCACCACTTTCAGCGTTTTCTGTTTATGTGGTGCTGCTAGTGCTTACTCTACCTCTGAGCCACATTCTCAGCCCCGTGGCCTTTTTTTTGGTCGGTCGTGGGCCTTGAACTCTGGGCCTGGGCGCTGTCCCTCAGCTCTTCAGCTCAAGGCTAGCACTCTACCACTTGAACCACAGCGCCACTTCTGGTTTTCTAGTGTTTTATTGGAGATATGAGTCTCACAGTCTTTCCTGCCCAGGCTGAGATACTCAGATCTCAGATCCTCAGATCTCAGCCTCCTGAGTAGCTAGGATTACCCCGTGGCCATTTTTAATTGTATACTCAAAATCCATTTTAATACTGTTTTTGGGAGTATGTCAGTTCCTATGTAAAATCCAAATCTTGAGCAACTGGATTGTATGAGGTTAAGTGTTTCAAGTAATTGAAACCTAATTCAAACCAAAAATCTGCTTCATGAAGGGCACTAGTAGCTCACACCTGTAATCCCAGCTACTCAAGAGGCTGAGATTTGAGGATAACATTTTAAAGCCAGCCTGGGCAGGAAAGTCCGTGACACTCTATCTCCAATTAGCCACCAGAAAACCAGAAGTGGGTGCTGTGGCTCAAGTAGCAGAACGCTAGGAAGAGCTGAGGGCCAGCGCCCAGGCCCAGAGTTCAAGACCCAACAAATAAAAAAAGAAAGAAATCTGCTCTGCATAAATGACCTTATAATCCTCCCTGCTGTGCCCTCCTGTCATGGCTCACCTCCGAGGAAGAGTGGAATGGTGAGGGGAACACAGCTCACTTTAGCAATTCCCAGGAAATTGAGCACTTTGTCCTCTGCTGTATAAAACTCAGAATCTGATGGTCCCCGTGGTCAGGTACCCACTCCTGGAGTGGGAGGAAGGGCATTGCCATTAATATGTTCCCAAAGCCAGTGAAGCAGGGGGGCTCTTTCACAAAGGAAGTTGCTACTCCAGAAAGAGGGGAGGAATGCTGGAAGCTGAAAAATACAACAAAGGAAAGCCTTCTTTGTGGTCCAACACAGAAATTAGCACATTCTAGGCACAGCACTGACTCTGAGGCCTCCCACCCAAGCTTTGGGCAGTTCAGCTTCTTGGGGATTGCTGTCCCCCAGACTCTAGTAATTCTATTGTCAACAGCTGAGGCCTAAGATGCATTCCAAAGACAGGATCCTGGAGTTGCTGGTTTGAGAAGTTTCTGACCATCTTGGCAGAGGATGTCCAGACCCGGGTGAGGAAGCAGTGTCTGGGAAACGATGAGCAGTATACACGGTACACGGTGCTTCTGAGCAACAGGTAAGAAAATAGAGTTGGAACTTTGGTGTTTTAGTCCAGTTTCTGGAGGTGCTTGGGTATGAAATGCATAGTATCCCTCAGCCACAAAGTCCTGGTAGGTTTGGTTGGTCCCAGGTCCTGATTGTCTAGGTAGAATTTCTCATGCGCAGCTCTGCCTGCTGCTGCTGTGAGACGGGGGATTTTGTTAGTGCCCAAGACAAGCCTGGTCCCCAGGCCTGTGTTCTCCGGAGGAAGCAGACACCATAGAAATGAACAGAAAGTGTTAGATTAAGTACCAGGAAGGAAATACACCAGTGAGGTGTTAATGACAAAGGCGTGGAGGCTAAACCTCTCCCACGGGGTTAGCTGCACTAAAACCTGAGAGGAGAGCACTTGAGGCTCTACTTTTGTCTTAGGTCTTTTAGAAAACTTTTCTTTTTTTAGTCCTAGGACTTGAACTCAGGGCCTGGGGACTGTCCCTGAACATCTTTATTCAAGACTGTGCTCTACCACTTGAGTGAAAAAAAAGCTCCACTTCTGTTTTTTCATGGTTAGCTGAAATTAAGAGTCTCCCAGACCTACCTTCCCTGGCTGTCTCTGAACTGCTCTCCTCAAATCTCTGGCTCCTCAGAGACTAGGATTATAGGTGTGAGCCACCACCACCTAGCTAGAAACCTTCTTGAATATTCAAATGACATAAATATAACCATTGTAAATTAGACGATTCAGTGGCATTTAGTACATTCATAGTGTCATGTAACCGTCACCTTCTCCAGTTCCATTGCTCTTTGTAACCCACCGCCACCAAAAGGGCAGTAAAGGGAAAGAAAGGTTATGCTTAGCCAGGCACTGGTGGTTCACACCTGTACTCTTACTCAGGCGGCTGAAATCTCTAGGCTCAAGGTTCAAAGCCAGCCAGGCAGGAAAGTCCATGAGACCCTTATCTCCAAAAAAGGCTGCAAGCAGAGCTGTGGCTCAAGTGGTAGAGCGCTAGCACAAAAAAGCTCAAGGGCAGCGTGGCCCAAGTTCAAACCCTATGACCGACCATAAATAAATAAATACATGCGGAAGGAAGGGTATGACAAGCACCAGAAACCAAATCTAAAACTCGCTGATCCAGCCAGACGGCGGCGGCTCTCACCTGTATGTGATCCTAGCTATTTAGGAGGCGCCGGCCTGAGGATCGTGGCTGGAAGCAAAGCCCGCGCGACTCTGCGCTACCTGGAGCTGTGGCCTGCGGGACGCGGCGCGGCGCTCGCGGGCAGCCCCGGACCGGCGCGGCGGGCAGGTAGGTGCGGCTGTCCGCGAGGGCGGGTAGGCGCGGCTGTCCCCGCGGGCAGCCCCGGCCCGGCGCTCACCGGCGGGTAGGCGCGGCTGTCCCCGCGGGCAGCCCCGGCCCGGCCCTCGCGGGCGGGTAGGTGCGGCTGTCCCCGCGGGCGGGTAGGCGCGGCTGCCCTCGCGGCTCCCGCGCGGGTGGCGGCGCTGAGGCCGCGCACCCCGGGTGCTTCCTGCCCCCCTCCCTCACCCCCGTTCTGGCCCGAGCAGCCCTCTCCCCGCTCCTGAGTGCGTCCGGATCTCCAGGGAGCGTCCCGAGGGCGGACACCACCTTCCGGAAGCCCGCGGGGGCGCCGCCCGCCCGCCAGCACCGCCGCGTCCCCGCGTCGTCTCGTGGGCCCGAAGGGGCGGGCCCCAGACGGGAAGCGGGGGGCTCCGCCGGGCCGCGGGGGAACCCGCGCCGACGCACGGCCCTCCCAGCCTCACCGGAAGCGCCACCAAGGAGCCTGCCGCGAGGCATGCCGGGACCAGAGCGCCAGCGCCTGCGCCGTGCGGGGGCCCCCCCCCCCCCCCGTGGGTTCCCGCCACGCAGGACCCGCAGTTCGCTGGCGTCGGGCTGGCGACGCAGCAGGACGTCCGAGGGCCCATCCAGCCCTTCGGGGACCCCACCGAAGGGGTGCGGGGGACTCGGCCCACCGAGCTGGGCGCGCGGAGCAGAGCAGCCCCGGGAGCTGCAGCCCCGCGCCCACTCACCCCCGAGGCCCGGCCTGTGCCCCTGCGAGGCCGCAGGACAGTTCACCCGGACACCGTCGACAGCGGCGCAAAGAGTGGTGACAAGGCCAAGGTTTCCCCAACCATCTGCCCAGCCTGGCTGGGAGTATGCAGTCTGGAGGCCTTTAACCCACTGGGATGAATGGACAGGATAAACGTGCCGGCGCGAAGGCCTTTTGCTTAATCGCACTATCGAGAGGTTTCCTGAGAATGTGCACTGTGTGTTTTAACCTTTACGTCTGCCAGCTGCTATTGCCAGTCAGGAATCAGTGTAGAAAGAGGCTCCGTGGCTCAAATGGTTGAGTGCTGGCCTTGAGCAAAAAGAGGCTCAGGAACGCTGTCCAGGCCCCGAGATCAGGCCTCAAGACCCAAAACAAGAAACAACCACTGTCGTCAGTGGTTTACAATAACTTAGTCACAGAGCATGCCCAAATAGCCAAAACAGCTCACATCCCAGGATGGAGATAATCACAGGATCATCAGCCCGCTTCTTTTGTCCCGTATCAACTGCTCTGTCAAAGCCAGACACTGATTGTATTGGGCCTTACACGCCAGTGGTCCATCATTCAGCAGCTAGTGTTAATGTTCCAGAATTGTAGTGTCAACATCACCCAGTCTCAGAACCTTCCACTGCAGGGCTGACAGCTCCACAGCAATCTCAGCCCGTCACAGCTGTACACACACACAGACACGCGATTCTAAGTATGAAATTATGTAGGAAAATAAGAAGAGAAGAGGCAAAAGGAAAGATAGAAGCCCAGACAGGGGGAATAGAAACCAATACACATTATTCTTCTGCACACGTCTGAAATACCATGGTGAAAATCCTAGGTATAATTAATATACACCAAAAAGCTACCCCCAAACAGGAAAGCAAAAGAGGCTCTGCTGCAGTCTGGGACAGGGGTATCATGGAAGGGGTGAATGAGGAAGACTACAGTGTAAATGGTTGATCTGCAGGTGTGAAAACGGAACAATGAAACCTGTTGAAACTGTTTTGGGAGTGGAATAAAGGAGAGTGATAGAGGGGTGAGGTATGTGGGAAATGGCATAATAAAACTCCCTGTTCAATTAATGTATGCTAATAAAGTTCAAGTGAAAGACCACGGTTTTTTTTCTGGTGCACTACTTTCCTGTTTCCTGGCCATGTGAGCCTTTTGTGTTAATTACCTGGGGTGGAGGGTGAGGTGGCTAAGAGTCCCTCTGAGTCCCACAGCATCAGCCCCAAGAGCCAGGGCCCTGGGCGGCAGACCCAGGCTGCTCAAGCCACTCCAAGTTAAAAGCCAATGCACTGCCTGCCCTACTTCTTATGCTGAAGTTCTACATTTGCCCTCCCCAGCACTGAAGAAAGGATGGAGAAATCCAGAAGGCAAAGGTAGAATTCCCCAGACAACCCCTAGGTGATAGAATCCAGAATAGAAGATAGAAGCAAAGCAGAGACAGAAGAGCAGATAGGGAGAAGCGAGTGTTAAAGTCATCATTATTTTCTTTTCCTAATCTGTGGGTATGTGGGCGTGAGTGTGAGTGGATGTGCATGCTTGTGTATGTCAGTGTGTGCTGGTACTGGAACTCAGGGCCTGAGCACTGGCTGGGCTTCTTTTGCTCAAGGCTAGCGCTCTACCAGTTGAGCCACAGCGCCACTTCTGGCTTTTTGTGGTGAATAATTGGAGATAAAGGTCTCATCAATTACCCTTTAGAGAGAGAAAAGGTCTTGAAAAGCAGTCAAGTTGCTGGATACCAACTTGAAGTTGCAGTTCAGAGGCTTGGTTTGGTATTTATTTCCTCCTGAACTTGCTAAGCAGATACCCCACTCTAGAAAATAGCCCTGCAGCCAGACTCTGGTGGCTTACGCTTGTAATCTTTGCTACTCAGGAGGCTGAGATATGAGGACTGTGATTCAAAGCCAGCCCAGGCAAGAAAGTCCATGAGATTTCTATCTCCACTTAATCACCAGGAAACTGGAAGTGGCACTGTGTTTCAAAGTGGTAGAGCACTTAGCCTTTTTTGCTTGAGCAAAAAAGCTCAGAGAGAGTGCCCAGGCCCTGAATTCAAGCCCCAGGACCAACCGAAAATAAAGGAAATAGCCCTTGCTTTTCCATTTTGGCTAATTTTATTCCTGGGCTAAAAAACTGCTCAGTAAGGGTAGGAAGGTGGCTCAGTGGTAGAGTGCTTGTCTCACACTCATGAAGCCCTGGGTTCAATTCCTCAGCATCACATAAACAGAAAAAGCCAGAAGTGGTGCTGTGGCCCAAGGGGTAGAGCACTAGCCTTGAGCTGAAGAGCTGAGAGACAGTGCCCAGAATTCAAGGCCCAGGACCAACAAAACAACAACAACAAGAAAAACTGCTCAGAAGACCTAGAGCAGTGGTGAAAGGAACCCTGGCACTGCTGAGCAGCTACAGAGCCCCAGACCCACAAACCGAACTGCTCAGGAAGGACAGGGAACAGCGCCTGTTTCTTAACTTGGAAGAGATTTGAGGGGCTAAACTCATGATTAGCAGGAGGTGGTACAACAGGTACTAGGAATAACTTTAGAACAGAAGATGAACTGACTATGAGGTTGGTGCCTTAACTGATCAGTGCTCTTATGTCTTACATGAAAAGACTAAGCAATCGCCTGTTCCTAAGGGATTCCCGGAGGTGAGAGAGGAGGGTCCTGACATCCTCAGCATCCTCTGACTCCACAGAATGATTTCACTGTTGACCTAAAAAAAGTCAACAGTAATTTTCCAGACTGGGAAGGTGGCTTAGCGGTAGAGTGCTTGCCTAGCATGTATGAAGCTCTGGGTTCGATTCCTCAGTACCATACACACAGAAGTGTGTGCTCAAATAGAGCACTAGCTTTGAGCACAGAGAAGCTTAGGGACAGTGCTCAGACCCTGAGATCAAGCACCAGGACTGGCAAAAAAAAAAAAAACAGTAATAATAATAATTTTCCTCTTTCACTTCTGAGTGGATTAAGGTACCAAGCTCATAATCAGGACTTCAAACTCTAGATCAGCACTCACCAAAAAAGAAAGAAAGAAAGGAAGGAAGGAAGAAAGAAAGGAAGAAGGAAAGAAGGAAGGAAAGAAAGAAAGAGAGAGAGAGAAAGAAAGAAAGAGGGAAGGAAGGAAAGAAGGAAGGAAGGAAAGAGTGGTACATAGTCCTTCGCCATTTTCTGATACAGAGCCTCCAGGAGCTTCTTTCCTTGCTTCCCCCCAAGTTACCCCTGAAGAGAGGCAACCAGAGATGGAAGGGGGCAGCAATGGCTCCTCAGAGGGCTTCATTCTGCTGGGTATATCTGACCATCCCAGGCTGGAGATGATCTTTTTCGTAGCCATCCTCTCCTCTTACTTGCTGACTCTCATGGGGAACTCAACAATCATCCTGCTTTCCCGCCTTGATGCTCCACTCCACACACCCATGTACTTCTTCCTCAGCAACCTCTCCTCCCTGGACCTTGCCTTTACCACCAGCTCGGTCCCCCAAATGCTGATCAATTTATGGGGGCCAGACAAGACCATCACCTATGGCGGCTGTGTGACACAACTCTACGTGTTCCTTTGGCTGGGGGCCACTGAGTGCATCCTGCTTGTGGTGATGTCATTTGACCGCTATGTGGCAGTGTGTCGGCCTCTGCACTATCTGACCATTATGAGTCCTTGCCTTTGCTGGCTACTGGCTGGCATTAGCTGGTTGGGAGGTTTGGGCAACTCTGTGACCCAGTCAACACTCACTCTGCAGCTTCCATTTTGTGGGCATCGGAGGGTGGACGGCTTTCTGTGTGAGGTGCCTGCCATGATCAAACTGGCCTGTGGAGACACCAGTCTCAATGAGGCTGTGCTCAACGGAGTCTCTACCTTCTTCACGGCTGTCCCACTGAGCATCATCCTGATCTCCTACTGCTTCATTGCTCAGGCTGTGCTGAAGATCCGCTCTGCAGAGGGACAGCGGAAAGCCTTCAACACATGCCGCTCCCATTTGCTGGCCGTGTTCCTCTTCTATGGCTCAGCAATCTACGGGTATCTGCTTCCATCGAAGAGCAGCAGCCAGGACCAGGGAAAAGTCATTTCCCTCTTCTACACTGTGGTTACCCCCATGGTAAATCCTCTCATCTACACGTTAAGAAATAAGGAAGTGAAGGGAGCACTGAGAAGGCTGCTGAGGAGAGAAAGAGAATCTGGTTGAGATTTATTGCCTCATTCTCTCTGCCTATGTTTTCTATTTCTCTGGCCAGATGAACGCGCATAGTACTAACCACGGTAAAACCAAGGCTTGTTCATGATGGTCTGAAATGTTGGGTGACAGTGTTATTCAAATTATTGTATATTTATTTACAGAAGTCTCACTATGGACTTCAGATAAGAGGACTGATAATGGCTGGGAAGGTGGTCTAGTGGCCGAGCGCTTGCCTAGCATGCACAAAACCCTGGGTTCACTTCAGTACCACATTAACAGAAAAAGCCAGAAGTGGTGCTGTGGCTCAAGTGGTAGAGTGCTAGCCTTGAGTAAAAGCCACCTCAGTGACAGTGCCAGGACCCTGAGTGCAAACCACAGGACTGGCCAAAAAAAAAGCCGAGCACCAGTGGCTCACTCCTGTAATCCTAGCTACTCAGGAGGTTGAGCTCTGAGGCTGGAGGTTCAAAGCCAGCGCCGGCAGAAAAGTCCATGAGACTGATCTCCAGTAAACCACCAGAAAACCGGAAGTGGCACTGTGGCTCAAGCGGTAGAGTGCTACGCTTGAGCTGAAGAATGCAGGGACAGCACCCAATCCCAGAGTTCAAGCCCCAGGACTGACCAAAAACAAAAAGAAAAACAAAAAGGGGGACAGATAGTCCAAAGATGAGCGGCTCTTGGCATAATAAAGATGTATCTTACTGTCTCTGTATCTACTACCCACATTTAATTATAGCTTCTACTTCTACTGGATTTTGGAATTTTCTTAAAAAAGTAAATTTTTTTTTGTCTTTTCTTTTTTTGGTACTGGGGATCAAAAGGATGTTGCACTGGCTAGGCAAGTGCTTTGCCCCTGAGCTACACCCCAGCCCTAAATTTGTTTTTATATAGTTATTATAAGTCCATGAACTCAAATCATATAGGAGTTTCCTATGAAGTCCCAAACAATTCCTCTTTATATCTTATCCACCCATTACTGTCCACCTCTCTGTCCCTCCCTATTGTTTTGTTTTTTGCTGGGCCAGGGGCTTAAAATCAGAACTTAAGCCAGTGGCACACGCCTCACGCCTATAATCCTAGTTACTCAGGAGGCTGAGATCTGATGATCTCAGTTCAAAGCCAGCCCAGGCAGGAAAGTCCATGACACTCATCTCCAATAAAACCACTAGAAAACTGAAAGTGATGCTGTGGCTCAAGCGGTAGAGCACTCGCCTTGAGCTGATGAGTACAGGGACAGCGCCAAAGCCCAGAGTTCAAGCCCCAGGACCGATAAAAAGAAAAAATCAGAACCTAGGCTCTGTTCTGAGCCTCTCTGTGCTCAAGTCTAGGGCTCTACCACTTCCAGACTTTTTGTTTTGTTTTGTTTTGTTTAAGTCATGAGGCTTGAACTCTGGGTTTGGGTGCTATCCTCAGTGCTTCAGCTCAAGGTGAGCCCTCTATCATGTGAGCCACAGCATTACTTCTTGTTTTCTAATGGTTAACTGGAGATAAAGTCTCACTGACTTTCTTGCCCAGGCTGGCTTTGAACTGGGATCCTGAAATCTCAGTCTCTTGAGTAGGTAGGATTACAGGCGTGAGCCACTGATACCTGACCCGGTGTGTATGTGGTACTGAATAATCGAACCCCAGGGCTTTTTGCACCTAGGAAAGCACTCTACCACTGAGCCACCTTTCCAGCCCTCTCTATTTCTTCTTAATACAGTCTGTCTCTCCATGGATTCCATCCATCTCTCTCTGCCACCCTGACTACATGCTCCTATAAATTTACATACAAATTTCCTTCTGTATAACCTGACCTTTAGAAGGGATATGTGCATGTGTACAAATACAGTTATGAGCACCACATAAACAGCTCAAGTGGTGAAACTGACACCCGGGACAATACGAGGAGATAGGCCTTGAATTTCTTAGAAAGTAAGATAGAAAGCTGAGGGCAGGTGGCTCACTCCTATAATCCTCGCTACTCAGGATGACTGAGATCTGAGGATCAAGGTTCAAAACCAGCTCAGGCAAGAAAGCTCCTAAGACTCTTAACTCCAATAAACCACTCAGAGTTCTAGCCCCGTGACGGACAAAAACAAAGAAGAAAATAAACAGTTATGTTCAACAAGGAACCTGATGGAAAGAAAGCAAAGCAGCAGATGATATATTTGGCATCTACTGCAATTCCATATGAATTCTGGGACTAGTTTTTCTTTTCCTTTTTTTTTTTGGGGGGGGGGGAGGAGTATCTGTGCCAGGGCTTGAACTCAGGGCTTGGGGGTTGTCCCTGATCCTTTTTTTGCCGGCACTGGCACTTTAAGGCTGGTACTCTATCATTTGAGCCACAGCTCCACTTCTGGCTTTTTTGGTGCTTAACTGGAAATAAGATTCAAATGGACTTGCCTGCTCAGGCTGGCTTTTAATTATGAGCATCATGAGTAGCTAACATTATAGGCACAAGCCACTGATTATAGGCACAGGCCAGCCCGCTTTTCCATTTCTGCAAAAGGGGTTTCTGGGATTTTTCTGGGGCAGGGAGGGAGATAATGGAATTTGAACTCAGGGCCTTGTATTTGCTGTTCTACTTGAGCCATGTCTTTTGTCCTTGTTGGAATTTTAAATGGGATTACTTAGAGTCTACAGGTCATTTGAGGTAACACTGACATAACAATACCAAGTCTTCCAACATATGAACACAAAATGTCTATTTTTTTTCTTTAATGGGTCTTGGGGCTTGAACTCTGTCTGGGTCTGGATGCTGTCCCTAAGCTCTTCAGCTCAAGGTGAAGGCTCTACCACTTGGGCCACAGTGCCACTTTTGTTTTTTTCTGGTGGTTTATTGGTCTTAAGAGTCTCACAGAGCCGGGCGCTGGTGGCTCACGCCTGTAATCCTAGCTACTCAGGAGGCTGAGATCTGAGGATCGAGGTTCAAAGCCAGCCCGGGCAGGAGAGACCATGAGACTCCTATCTCCAATAAACCACCAGAAAACCGGAAGTGGCGCTGTAGCTCAAGTGGTAGAGCGCTCGCCTTGAGCTGAAGAGCTGAGGGACAGCGCCCAGGCCCAGAGTTCAAGCCCCACGACCAACAAAAAAAAAAAAAAAAGAGTCTCACAGACTTTCCTGTCTAGGCTGGCTTTGAACACCGATCCTCAGATCTCAGCTTCCTGAGTAGCTAGGATTACAAGCGTGAGCTTGTAATTCTTTCAGCAATGTTTTATAGTTACCAGTGTACAAGTATTGAAACTACATAGTCAAATTGATACTCAAATCTTAAATTCTTTTTAATAATAAGTAGAATTGTTTCCCTAATTTGCTTTTCAAATCGTTTGTTGCCAGTATATAAAACATGCCTGTGTTTCTACATTGATCTTAAATCCTGCAACTTATCTCTAATCATTTCAATGGATGCTTGGAATTTCCTGTATATGATTGTATTATCTGTTAATAAAATTTTACATCTTCCTTTTGGGATGACTAATTTCTTTGATAAAAAGACAGACTATAGGAGCTGGGCAGGTGGCTCAGTGGTAAAGCACTTGCCTTGCATGCCTGAGGCCCTGGGTTCAATTCCTCAGCACCACATAAGCAAAAAGAAAAAAAAAGCTGGAAGTGGTGTTGTGGCGCAAGTGGTAGAGTGCTAGCCTTGAGCTGAAGAGCTGAGGGACAGCGCCCAGGCCCAGAGTTCAGGCCCCATGACCAGACCCCCCCCCCCAAAAAAAAAAAAAGACGGACTATAACATCTAGCAAGCTATTGAATGAACAAGATAAAGCAGGCACCCTCTAAGTGTTCAGGTGGAATAGACCCACCCGCTCTGCGAAGGGACCCATGTTTGGAATCTTAAGCAGAACAGAACCTGGGGCTGGGAAACTCACAGGACCCTGCAGGAAACCACTGTCATTTTTGTGTTCAGTGGGAACTTACCCTGTTGTTGTGAATCGTGACAATGCTTTCTTCAATATCCCATTCCCTACTAAGGACCACTTCACATTCACCTGCAACTGACAGCAGGAGACCTTCAGATTACTCATTCAAGGTTCCTACACAATTTCATCATTTTCTAGGAGATAATAGTTTAAGATTTTGATTTCAAGGCTTTGAATGGGGCATAGTGGCAGTGCTTGCCTAGCATGCAGGAAGCCCTGGGTTTGATTCCTCAGTAGAACTGTTGGGCTTCAAAAGCTTCTCCTACAAATGACAAGTGTCAGAGCTTTCTGCCAGTATCAGAAGATGGACATCATCAATAAGCAGAACCTCTAATGTGGGTCACTCTGTTCTGTAGTCTCAGCCTTAATGGTAGCGAGGAGAAAAGTTGCCTCAAAAGTTGGGCCACATGGGGCTGGGAAGGTGGCTTAGTGGTAGTGCGCTTGCCTTGCATGCCTGAGGCCCTTGGTTGGATTCCTCAGCACCACATAAGCAAAAAGAAAAAAGCCGGAAGTGGCGCTGTGGCTCAAGTGGTAGAGCGCTAGCCTTGAGCTGAAGAGCTGAGGGACAGCGCCCAGGCCCAGTGTTCAGGCCCCACGACCAGACCAAAAAAAAAAAAAAAAAAAGTTAGGCCAAACACCCTGTTCTCAGGAAACACTTGCTGAAGAGATCTTTGGCCAACCTTCCTTACAAGATTATAAGGCTCAAACTGTTTGAGGGGGAATAACACAGGAATTAGGGAGTAAGTTAGGAAACATGATGGCTGAAAAAAATGGCTTGGAGACAGATTATTTTGGTCCTTTTTTTTTTTTTTTTTTGGTCATGGGTCTTGAACTCTGGATATGGGCATTGTCCCTCAGCTCTTCAGCTCATGGCTAGCTCTCTACCATTTGAGCCACAGTACCACTTAGGATTTTTTTTTTAATCACAAGCTAGGCATCACTGGCTCATACTTATAATCCTAGCTAGTCAGGATGTTAAGATATGAGGATGGCAGTTTGAGACCAGCCCAGGCGGAAAGTCTTAGAGTCTTACCACCAACTAACCACTAAAAATAGCTGACATGGAGCTGTGGTTCAAGTGATAAGAGCACTAACCTTGAGCACAA